TCCTGCTATCATTCTCCACAGACTCAAACTCCTTAGACTCAAACTCTTCACATCTGCTCCCCCTTGTATTCGAGGTTCACTTTTCCCTATAGCCCAATAACTCCTTCCTCGCCAGACTTCATAAATGACTGATAGGTGTGCATTTCTCTGCTTTTCTTACCTCCTGTTCCCCACTGACCTCCCTGAAATCTGGCGTCCAGGCACACCACTGCACTAAAATTGCTTTCTTAATGGTCACCAGTGAATTCCTTTCATTGTCATTTTTCAGCTTCCTACTTTTAATCTTTTCAATCTCTCCACACTTAAAATCATCCTGGTTAATTTACACCTTTGATAAAGGGAGTCAGTGAGTATGGTTTCTAATAGGGACTTTGAGACCCAATTCGGCCACTTCTGAGCATGAGAACTGTGGTGTCTCGGCCGCCTCAGTGATCAAATAGAGAGAGGAATCGCAGGTGGCATGGGGATTAAGGAGATCCCACACGCAGGCACTTGTACAAGGCCTGCCACACAGATAGGACTGCTCCTGTAAAGTCAGACCATCCTTCTCTTCATTCCCTCAGGCTTCTGTTTTCATCCCTGTTCTTCCCCATCTGGTATGAGTTTTCTATGGTGCTTCATCTTTCCTCAATCCCTACATTTTGCTGAATTTTAAGATTTAGCTTTTGGCTTTATGGCCTCCTGTCTCTCCATCTTCTCCTTTAACAAAAACAATAGATGGCTTTCCTATAAAATCACTACATGTTGAAATATGTACTGTGTGCTTTCCAGGATGTGCCAGCATCACCCCAAAATCAATTTCCACAAGATAGTATTGAGTTTTTCACTTTTCTGGGCTCCCCATTCTTTGGCCACTGTCACCCAACTACCAAAGGTCAAATCTAAAGCACTATCTTTGATACCTCTTTTTTGTCCCCTGCAACAAATTCTTATGTGCTTATCTATTCTGATACTTCTTTTTTTGCCCCCCCATTCTGACACTTCTTATTAGGATCTTTAAGATTAAAACTCAGTACACTTGGGTTTGGTTCAGTAAGGGACCTAACCCTAGGGCTGCACCATTGATGACTGGCACATATGATGCCTAGCCCTCACCCAAGATGCCAAAATGCTACAAAATCTTTACGTGAAAAAAATGTGGTCTACAAACTCTATGGCCTCAGACTATCTGAGAAGTTTGATCAAAGTGCCTGAAATCAGGAAATTCTGAAAAGTAAGAAGGAAGGAAAAGGAGATTCAGATTTACTGCCAGTCTATTATGAATCAGGAACTGTGCTAAGTGTTGTTTCTCCCAAGATAGGCCAGTAATATAATTTTTTTTAATGTAAGAAATGGGATGTCACAAAGCTTCCTTCTCATTGGTGCTTCGTGGACAGTTCATCACAGAGGTAATCTCCTTTATCATGCACCCATGACCTCCCAAAGGTTGATCACTTTGGAGAAATAGAAGTCATGATTGAACATCTACAGTTCTAATATAGAGAGCATTACTTCGTGAATGGCATATATTCATTGATTTAATCATTCATTCAAATATTTTATTAAGTTCCTATTCTGTACTAGGGTCATGATGATTGCTGGAAATGCAACTATGAATGCCTTTCCCTCAAAGCCCAGGAAAGAGAGCTAGGTAAGAGAATGCTGAGGGAGCCAGGCTACTGTAGCAGCACTCAGAAGGCCCTTCTTAGATTAGTAAATTTAGATTAGTTTACTTTTTTCACTTGTCTCCCAGCTAGATGCCTTATCTTCATTCTTACTGCAGCTGTCCTCATCACTTCACACCTACATTTCCACGGTGAACTGCCTCCAGTCTCACCACCTTCAAACCATCCTCCGCACTGTGGTCACAGCCTTCTTTTTCTAAAGCAAATCTAATCATACCTCAAACTTTCCCAATCTCCAAACTCTCTCCTAGCCTTTCAGATAGAACTGAAGCAATATGGGAGGAGAGGAGAGCATATTTCTATCACACCAGATCTCTACTTATCTCTCTGGCCTAATGGTTTGTTTCTCCTTGGATCTAAAACCCATGTCTCAAACTGCAGCCACAGAGAACTACTTCCAGTTCACATAGAGTTTTTTTTTTTTTTTTTTTTTTTTTTGCCTGGAAAGCCTAATTCTTGTCCCTCACGACTCAGCTCAATGCCAACTCCCTAAGAAGCCTTCTCAATCTTCTTTAGTGGGATGCCCTCCCTTTGTGCTTCTAAGCCCCCAGATCTTATCTTTGCCCAAACACTTCCTCTATGGCATTAGTTGTTAGTGTCACCCATTCCCCGCCCCTTCATGCCCTGTCCACACTCCAGCACCCTGTGCTCTACCCTCATGGGTTGGCTTACAGCTACCCTAAATTACTGGGCACTCTCATACTTTCCTCTGACTGAAATGTCCTTTCTATTCTTTTCTATTTGGAAAAGGACTATTTATTTTTCAAAAATATCTCAAAAACTACCTGCTCAGATTCTCCAGAAGAAAAAAAAAATTTATATGCCTGAACTGTTGATTCTTAATTTATTCTACAATTGTATCATTTAATCAGACTGTATCACAGTTAGCTAAAAATCTGCTTCTCCCTCCTTGAAAGCTGGCATTATTTTTTACTTTCTTGTTTTTCTCCTTCAGCCTCCAGCATAGAAGTGCTGATGTGTATCTTCTGAATGTTGAGAAAATTCAGGAGGGAGGAGGGAGTGTACAGCAGACATGTTAAGAGCTCACAGTGCAATGCAGAGCAATATTACTCTATGTCATGCACGTGAATCTTGCATTTACAACTAAATCATAAACCCTTTGGGGGCAGAACTATACTACATATTTTTACAGGGCCCACATTGTTAAATATGGGAAGGGGGATCAACAAACAACTTGTAAATAGGATCTGAATATAACCCAAATGAATTGAACTTGCAGATGTAGGAAAAGGAAATATAAAGAGAAAAATAAAATTCTAATATAAAGCAAAAAATAATCTAAATCTTTTCTTGCCAAGTTTTGCAGAGAAAATGATGAGAATATTCATCATGAAATAAAAATGACATGCTGACAATTATATTTAAACCCCTTCAATGACAATTTCTCACCTTGCAAATATTTCTAAAAAGGTTTTTTATTGACTAGTTGTTTGAAAAAAAGAGAGAAAAAACTTTTGGATTTCCATATTACTGAATTTTTTTTAATCAGAAGAGCAAAGTTGTTTTAATGATATGCAACCCTTTCTTAATTCCCTTCTTTTTCTCTTTCCTTTATTCCCCTTCCTTTTCTTTCTCAAAAACTTCACCTTTGGCTATGGTGACTTACTTTCTCAATTAGCTTCATTAATATCACACTCTTTTCCACTTCAGCAAAGCTTTTAAAAAATGTCAAAAATAAAAATAAAAAGGTTCCCCAAGGCAGTAGAGAGATGGCCTCCACCTGCCATCTTAAAGTGAAGAGAATCCCCTCTGCCAACCCATAGTCACAAGTACTAGATTCACGCTTCCAATATTCTGTCATATCAGCTTGACTTTCAGATATCCCACACACTTCTCTTACAAATTCAAGGCTCCTGAGATATAAAGACCCAAGAATGTACCTGTCTGTCCATCCAGTCTTCCAGGCATATACAAAATGACAAGATAGAGAAACTTTCACACATGGCACTTTCTAGAATTAAAGATCTCATTTAGATTGCTCTATAGGTTAGCCCAGGAATAATCAAGTCTTATGCTCCAGATGTGACATTCCAGAGAAAAATTAGAGTCCCACCAACCATAGGAGAAGTAGAAGGGCATGTGAATTCAATAAAGGCTGCAGGGTTCTTTGCCTCACACTTGCCTTATTCCTGCCTTAATCTGCCTCTAGTCTCTCCTCTCCTACATGACCATCATCTCTCCCTCTTCTATTCCCCTTTGTCCCGGTTCTGGACTACTCATGTGTGGATTCTGACTTTGCCGTTTCAAACGACCATTAGATTTGTGGCTATTCCCAGGTGCTAACAACAGCTCTGCACTCTGACCCTGCCCCACTGGGGCTGGCATTTCAGGGAATTCCTTTCTCCGGACCTTTTCGACCGGACAGAAAAGATCAGAAAGGTGCATGTCCACAAGCTAGATATCAGGCTGCAGATAATCTCTCACACCAAAGAGGCTGAAATGGAAAAAGACATCCCCACAAAGAAAAAAAAAAAAAAAAAACAGCTCAGAATCCTGCACTTATTCCACGTGTGTGTCATAAAACCCCAGGGCAAAAATGAAGCCCCAGCTTCCCTGGGCTGCTGTCGCGGCGACGGCAGCCCCAGCTCATCTCCCAGGGCTGCCGCCTTGGTGCCTGCGAAGACAGCACCTTCCCCAGGGGAGGACAGATCCCTGCTGGCTCCAAGCATTTCTAGGAGGTGATTATGGCAAGCCTTTCAGTAACTCATCATTCATGCCCGCACTGACCCCAGCCTCACCCCGGCGCCTCTGGCACCCAAGCGGAATGAGAAAGCCGAAGGCTACCCCTCCAATTCCCCAGGTGACACCGCGCACACACGACGATGCGCCCAGGGCGCGGGCGGAGGTTGGGGTGGAGGAAAGATGACAGGTGCCCACGCCTGAAGGGAAATCAAAGACACCCCTTTCATCTAGGGGTGAGAAATCCCAACCCCGCTGGGGCCGGAGGACTTGGCACCAGCCACCCACAGGCGCCCCCGCCTGCAAGCCGGCTCTGGTGCAGCCCGGAATGCAGCCAGGAGCGTGGCACGCGACCGGACGAAGGAAACCTCCACGCCCCCTTTGTCTGCACGTTCCCCAAATGACAAGGGAGGAAACTTTACGATCAGGGAGGGTGCAGCTTTCTGCTGACACCTCGCAGATAGCGACCCTTCCTGAGATCCCCCTCTCGCCCGGCACAGCCCGGGCGCCGCCTTCCTATGCACCTTCAAACCCGCAAGCCGGGTTTGGGCCACCTGTGCTGCCGCGTGGGGCCGGGCACCTGCTCCTGCCACCCCGGCGTCCCGGAGCGGCCCGCGGGGCAGGCACCCCACTCACCTCTCGTGGTGGAGCGTCCTCCCTGGCGCCCTGCGGGGTCGACCGGCTCTCGGGAGCGCGGCGCATTCAGGCAGCGGCGGGAGACGCGCTCCCCGGGCTCTGCTGCATTCTGCCTGCGTGGGAGAGCGAGCCGGCGAGCGCGCGGCGCGGGCGTGTACGAGTGTGTGTTTGTGAGAGTATGTGTAGCTGTGCCCGAGTACGAGTATGCGAGTGTGTGTGTGTTTGTGCGCGCGCGCGCGTGGAGCGGGGTGCGCGGGATCACAGCAACCCCTCGGCACCCATCGTGGGCTCTGCCTCTCCTCCGCCTCCTTCTCGCTGTACCGCTTTTACAGGGTCCAGGTTTCAGGATCTCCTGTTTGTTTAATGAAAGGAAGAAGCAAAAGGCAGCGCGGAGGAGGGGCTGGGGTGGCGGGGAGGCGGGGAGGGCCCGCGCCGCGCATGCTCAGGGAGGCGCACTGAGCGCTCTCCGGCGCTCAGGCACCGGGCGGAGAGAGAGCTGGGGGCTGAGAGCAGCGAGGCTGTGCCCACCAGGGTGCTGGAGGCTCCGTGGGGATCCCGGAAGGCAGCGGGGAAACCTGACAGCAGAGGTGCGCCCTGCGTCGGGTCGCCCTGGCGCCCGCGGTGGGGGAAGCCGGTGGCGGGATCCCCACCCCACCGAGGAGACCAATTCGGCTGCAAGTCCTCTAAGGAGGACTCTCCTTGCTGCAAGAAAATGCTTGTTCCAGGGAGGCTGCGGACTGCTCCTACCTCTGTGCGGCGGGGCACCGTGGTGCAGTTCCCCAGAGGTCAAGAGGAACCACAGACAGCACCTGAACTAAAATGAGTTTCCTCATTTGTGTAGCATTCTTTAAAAAAAAAAAAAAAATTTAATTTATGCATCAAGAGCTGGGGTACAGGCCAGAGATGTGGGGTGGGGGGTGAGAGGACTCACCAGAGACAGAGCGGGGAACGGAACAGGCAGACTGACTGAAAACAGTCAGTCTGAAGGAGAGTTCAGTTCGCTGAAGGGAGAAGCAGTGAACAAGACAGGAGAGGTCTGCTGCACCATGTGGGTTGCTTCCTGGCCAGCCAGGATTGAACTTGTGCTGCAGAGGCCAGAATTGAACTTGTGCTGCAGAGGCTGTGGCTAGCTTCACAGTGCTGTGCTCAACCCCTTGTGCCCCCAGGGAGGCTCGAAGTACTTCTGTTTTATTTTTTTTAATTTTTTAAAGATTTATCCATTTATGCATACAAGAGCTGGGGTACAGGCCAGAGGGGTGGGGGTCTGTGTGTGTGAGAGGATTCACCAGAGACAGAGTGGAGAACAGAACAGGCAGACTGACTGAAATACACTGCTGAGGGGAGCAGCAGGCGTGACAGGAGAGGTCTGCTATACCATGTGGTTTGCTCTCTGGCCGGCCGGGAATCGAACTCATGCTGCAGAGGCTGCAGAATGCTTCGTACTGCGGTGCTTAAACCCTTGCGCTACCAGAGAGGCCCCTCATTTGTGTAGCTTTCTTCCTCTCCCACTTCCACTCTGTGGGGGGCAGAAAGAGGTAACTGCCCCCTGGGGTCCCAAAACAGGTCTGGTGGGAAGAAAGCGTTGAGGGGCACATCACAACCCTCTTCCAAAGGCCAAAGCAGGAGTGGAAGGAAGGTGAGTCTCAAGCAACTCCATTGTCAGCCTCCGTTAGTGAGAGGGCAAAGTGGAGGAGGCATTTACCCAGTTCAAGAAGGCAAAAAGAACAATAGATCCATTGTCAGACTTTCCTCGAATATTGAAGCAGTTCGATGTCTTCCTAGGTAAGGATTCTGACTACTTGGTAAAGCAGAACTGTCTACATGCAAAGTCCAGAGAACCTGAGCCCCCAAGAGTGATGGCGCAGTAACCTGAGGACCTGGGGGGTGCTGGGTTAGAGTCTGCCAGTGAGTGGAAACTCTTCTTCAGTGAGACTATTCTATGAGCAAAACAGGCCAGTGGTTAGGACTCATTCAAGAACTTCCATTTTCAACCTCTTCTTGCTTGATCACCCTGTGTGTCCCTCCTGTTTTTCTCTCCTTCAGATGAAAAGATATCCCAAGCAGGAAACTCCCTGTAAAGATACTCCTTCCTCTTGTTATTCATTTATGGTTCCTCCAAAAAAGGACTACCTTTAGATCACCCCAACTTTAGAGGAAAAGAAGACGGTGTATTAGGCAAATCTTTTCAAGCTTTCATTAAAGATCACCTCTGACCATTTCCACTCTGGAGTGCAAGTGAGCAGATGCCTTTGTTCTGAACTCTGACCTGGTCGCATTCCTCTTCCCAATCATAATGCCCAGTGACACCAGAACAGCAGGACAATTAGATCAAGCCCTAGAGCACACCCGGAGGAGAGAAAAAAGCTTGTCTAAATACCACCAACAAAAGCAAAGTTTAGGAGGAAAAAAAAGAAAGAAAGAAAGAAAGGAATTTTTAAAAAAATAGAAAGGGAAAGTTCTTAAGAAATGGAACTGCTCCCCCACACACACCTTGTAGTGGCTGGTTCCTTCTCTCAGTAGCTCTCTGAAAGAGTAGCACTGCAGCAGCATCTCTTTGCTTAAAAAGGACAGTGAGTCTGAATCTTTATCCACCAGGTAAGAGAGAACAGCTTCTCCTGAAAAACAGCAAAACCTCCTTCGTGAACCATCCACAATATCTGCACCTCCTTCTTCCATGCCTGTTTATTCATTCCTTCCTCTTGGCACCGCGATCTTTGGAAGGCATCTGAGATAGCTCTTCCTTGTTACCACATTGCCCTCAGAGCAGTGTGAATAATGTTGGCTGGAGTTATAGGTTGCTGGCACTGGCAGAACCTTGAGGTAGAAAAGCCCTTCCCCCTGCCCTAAGCATGAGTAAGCGAAGGCTCTGAATCCCAGAAGTGAGCGAGCCAAGGAGCAAAGTGGGGTTGGGGTGCAGCAGGTCTGGACTTGGTAGTTCTAGCAGTAAAGGCATTTCCCCAACAATAAGTGTCCGGGAAGCTCTTCTCTTTGTCTGGGGTCACCTTGGGTACAGGATATCATTCCCTGATGCTCACGGACACATGTTCGCCATCTCATAGCTCCAATAAGGTCAAGAATGAAAGAGACTATAAATTCAGAATTTCTAATAAAGTAGAATCCTTTGTGGTACTGTTATGAGAGGTTGAGAAGCAGCTCACTTTTTAAAATTGGGGGGAAACATGAAATGGAGACATTAAATGAGATGATGTACATAAAACACTTAACACTGTCATGCACAGCAAGCTCCCCATAATTTGTATGTATGTTATGTTAACATTTTCATTATATGGTGTTTTTAAGGACTGGAGGCTTTGTCCCCCTATGCTTAAATAAATGAAATAGATGAAAGCCAAATGCCTTCCAATTTTCCTTCTGACTTCCTACATTGCACCCTCAAACACATCACCAGGCAACTAATATATTCAAATGCACAAGATGAAAAGCATGCTATAAAAATGTGTAAATGGTGCCTAACCCCTTCCACATTCGGATCTGGAGACAAGTGTGAGACAGCAAGGTCTGTCATTAACAGGCCTCAAGCACTTTTCACCTCTCACATCTCACAGAGGTTCAGGACCCTGGCAGAGTCTGTTGTCAGGCCCCAGCTACACGGATTCATCAAGCTTTGTATTTCCACCCTTTTTGCCATCCTAATTTTAGCTCCCTAATGTGTTACTCCTTCTAGGTAACAGAATGCCCAAAGCCAATTAATATGCACACATCTGCAGATGGTTTTGAGATGAATTAATAGTCAAAATTTCAGTGACTGCAAGGAACTTCAATGCTCCTTTAATTCAGATTGCAGACCTAACATTCATCCCCATATCTAACAGACAGCCCCTCTCTTTACCAGAAAGCATGTCTAATTGCCGCACGTCCTATGTTAAAAATAAGCAAGTATTGCCACTGTTCAAAGCAAAATGTCAATACCAAAAGCAATTTCAGAATTATTAAAAACCAATAATAGACACAATGCTTAAACATAATAACGCTTCATAAGTTATGGATACTATACAGATGTCTCAGTTCTTTGAAAATAATTTCATTAGGTTATACAGTTCTGAAATAATGCAATTCTAAGGAGACATAGCATGTACTTAGGTTCTGCTCTGAATACTGTCTAATACTTGTGAGACACACTCACCATTTGCACCTAAATTGTGTTCTGCCTAGTTTTGGTTATTTTCAAATGCTAGTATTTTCAAGTGCTAGTATTTTCAAATACTAGTAAGACTAGTAAATTTATCACTTTCTCCTTGTAGAAATTTCATAAGTATCTATTAATCTTATCTGATTTAGTAAAAATATCGTCATGACTTTAAAGTCTAAACTGTTATTTTAAAAAAGTCAATGTTTCATGACTGTCACCCTTAACAAGTCCTTTTTTTATGTTTGACTTGCCACCACCTACGTTGGTTGTAAGTCATTCAAGGGCAGAGGTTTATTTCTTTTTTATGCTCCTGATGCCTCATGAAACTGAGCAAATGGAATATGTTCAGTAAATATATATATAAATGTATGAGTACAGAGCCAAAAATAAATTTTTGCTGGTAAAATGTTGACTTTGGAAAAGACTCCCAAACACGATGACTTTTGGTATTCCTCAAAGACCATAAACTCATAGACACTATTATGGTTTGATGTGTGTGATTATTTAAAAATGGAAGTTGGATGAGAAAGGCAAAGCAGGCTTCTGTAGATTGTGTTTATCCTGGGAAACATATAAATCAAGCCCACTCTAATTTTTCTGGTTCAGAAAGGAAATGTGTTTTGGCTCAAAATGAGATACAATTCAAAAGATACCTTTGTGCTGGCCAACTTAATCTAGCCAGAATTATGTTCTAACTTATTTAGTTTTCCCCCTAAGTAGGAAGAAATAATTGAGTCTCTGCTGAGGTTAGAACTCATTTTCTCTTCAAAAGAGATCATCTAAAAAGTGAAAATGACCACCCAAGGCTTTCTATTATTATTGACTTGAGTGAAACAAACCAGTAAAAAGTTGGTTCTGTTTTCATGGATAGGAATTTGGGGGTGA